TGTTTGTGTGCCCTACCTGTATCTGTATGTGTACCCCTAAGTGTGTCTGTATGTGTGCCCCTATGTGTGTTTGTGTGCCCCTATGAATGTCTGAATGTGTTTCTCTACGTATGTCTGTTTGTGTGCCCCTATGGATATCTGAATTTGTGACCCTACGTGTGTCTGTATTTGTGCCTCCACGTGTGTCTGTATCTGTGACCCTGTATGTGTCAGTACATGTGCCCCAATGTGTGTGTCTGTACATGTGCCCCTGTGTGTGTCTGCATGTGTGCCCCTGTGTGTGTCTGCATGGGTGCCCCTGTGTGTCTGTATGGGTGCCCCTACGTGTATCTGTATATGTGCCTCTACCTTTGTCTGTATGTGTGCCCGTGTGTGTGTCTGTATGTGTGCCCCTACGTGTGTCTGCATGTGTGTCTCTACTTGTGCTCCTATGGATGTCTGAATGTGTGCTCCTATGTGTGTTTGTTTGTGTGCCCCTATTGATGCCTGAATGTACGTGTGTCTGTATATGTGCCGCTACGTGTGTCTATATCTGTGACCCTATGTGTGTATGTATTTGACCACCATATGTGTCAATGCATGTGCCCCTATGTTTGTCTATACCCCTATGTGCGTCTGCATGTGCCCCTGTGTGTCTATCGGTGCCCCTATGTGTATCTGTATATGTGCCTCTACGTTTGTCCGTATGTGTGCCCCTATGCGTCTGTATGTGTGCCCCTACGTGTGTCTGTATGTGTGCCCCTACGTGTGTCTGTATGTGTACCCCTACCTGTGTCTGTATGTGTGCCCCTATGTGTGTCTGTACATGTGCCCATATGCGTGTCTGTTTGTGTGTTACTATGCGTGTCTTTATATATGCCCCTACGTGTGTCTGTATGTGTACCCCTATGTGTGTCTTTGTGTGCCCTAAGGATGTCTCTGTGTGCCCCTTTGTGTGTTACTACTTGTGCCTCTATGGATGGCGGGATGTGTGCCCCTATGTGTGTGTTTGTGTGCCCCTATGGATGTCTGATTGTGTGTCCCTACGTGTGTCTGTTTGTGTGCACCTATGGATGTCTGAATGTGTGCTACTACGTGTCTGTTTATATGCCCCTACGTGTGTCTGTATCTGTGAACCTATGTGTGTATGTAAGTGGCCCCCATACGTGTCAGTACATGTGCCCCTATGTGTGTCTGTACATGTACCCCTGTGTGTGACTGCATGTGTGCCCCCGTGTATCTGTATATGTGCCTCTACGTGTGCCCATATGTAAGTCTGTATGTGTGCCTCTACGTGTGTCTGTATGTGTGCGCCTATGTGTGTCTGTATGTGTACCCCTACCTGTGTCTGTAGGTGTGCCCATATGTTTGTCTGTACTTGTGCCCATGTGTGTGTCTGTTTGTAAGCCCCTGGATGTCTGAATGTGTACCCCTATGTGTGTCTGTACATTTACCTCTCTGTGTGTGTGCATGTGTGCCCCTACGTGTGTCTCTACTTTTGCCCCTTGGGATGTCTGATTGTGTGCCCCTATGTATGTCTGTTTGTGTACCCCTATGTGTATCTCTGTGTGCCCCGTACGTGTGTCTGCATGTGTGCCCATACGTGTGTCTCTACTTGTGCTCCCATGGATGTCTGAATAAGTGCCCCTATGTGTGTCTATTTGTGTGTCCCTATGGATGCCTGAATGTGTGACCCTACGTGTGTCTGTTTATGTGCCCCTACATGTGTCTGTATCTGTAAACCTATGTGTGTTTCTATTTGGCCACCATATGTGTCAGTACATGTGCCCCATTGTGTGTCTGTACATGTACCCCTGTGTGTGACTGCATGTGTGCCCCTGTGTATCTGTATATGTGCCTCTACGTGTGCCCATATGTAAGTCTGTATGTGTACCTCTACGTGTGTCTGTATGTGTGCGCCTATGTGTCTGTATGTGTACCCCTACCTGTGTCTGTAGGTGTGCCCATATGTGTGTCTGTACTTGTGCCCATATGCGTGTCTGTTTGTAAGCCCCTGGATGTCTGAATGTGTGCCCCTATGCGTGTCTGTATATGTGTCCCCATGTGTGTCTGTACACGTGCCCTTATGTGTGTCTGTATGTGTGCCCATATGCATGTCTGTTTGTGTGCCCCTATGGATGTCTGAATGTGTGCCTCTATGTGTGCCTGTATATATGCCCCTACGTGTGTCTGTATGTGTTTCCCTATATGTGTCTTTATGTGTGCCCCTAAGGATGTTTGTATGTGTGCCCCTACGTGTGTCTGCTTGTGCCCCTAAGGATGTCAGAATGTGTGCCTCTATGTGTGTCTGTTTGTGTACCCCTATCGATGCCTGATTGTGTGCCCCTACATGTGTCTGTCCATGTGCCCCTACGTGTGTCTGTCTCTTTGACCCTATGTGTGTAAGTATTTGGCCATCATATATGTCAGTACATGTGCCCCTATGTGTGTTTGTACATATGCCCCTGTGTGTGTCTGTATGGGTGCCCCTACGTGTATCTGTATATGTGCCTCTTCGTGTGTCAGTATGTGTGCCCCTATGTGTGTCTGTATGTGTGCCCCTACGTGTGTCTATATGTGAACCCCTACCTGTGTCTGTATAAGTGCCCCTATGTTTGTCTGTAGATGTGCCCATATGCGTGTCTGTTTGTGTGCCCCTATGGATGTCTGAATGTGTGCCCCTATGCCTGTCTGTATATGTGCCCCTACGTACGTCTGTATTTGTACCCCTATGTGTGTCTTTTTGTGTGCCCCTACGTGTGTCTGTACATGTGCCCTTATGTGTGTCTGTATGTGTACCCCTATCGATGCCTGATTGTGTGCCCCTACATGTGTCTGTCCATGTGCCCCTACGTGTGTCTGTCTCTTTGACCCTATGTGTGTATGTATTTGGCCATCATATATGTCAGTACATGTGCCCCTATGTGTGTTTGTACATATGCCCCTGTGTGTGTCTGTATGGGTGCCCCTACGTGTATCTGTATATGTGCCTCTACCTGTGTCTATATGTGTACCCCTAAGTGTGTCTGTATGCGCCCATATCTGTGTCTGTATGTGTGCCTCTTTGTGTGTCACTACTTGTGCCCCTAAAGATAACTGAATATGTGCCCCTATGTGTCTGTTTGTGTGCCCCTATGGATGTCTGAATGTGAGTCCCTACGTTTATCTGTATATGTGCACTTGCGTGTGTGTAGTTTTGCCCCTATGGATGTCTGAATGTGTGCCCCTATATGTGTCTATTTGTGTGCCCCTATGGATGTATGAATGTGTGCCCCTGCGTCTGTCTGTATATGTGCCCCTACGTGTGTGTGTATCTGTGCCCCCATGTGTGTATGTATGTGGCCCCCATGTGTGTCGGTACATGTGCCCCTATGTGTGTCTGTACATGTTCCGCTGTTGGTCTGTATGGGTGCCCCTACGTGTATCTGTATATGTGCCTCTACGTGTGTCTGTATGTGTGCCCCTACGTGTGTTTACGTCTGCTCTACGTGTCTGTATGTGTACCCTACGTGTGTCTGTATATGTGCCCCTACGTGTGTCTGTACCTGTGCCTCTATGTGTGTATGTATATGGCCCCCACGTGTGTCAGTACCGGTGCCTCACTGTGGGTCTGTACATGTGCCGCTGTGTATCTGTATATGTGCCTCTACGTGTGTCTGTATGTGGCCCCCATGTGTGTCTGTATGTGGCCCCCATGTGTGTCTGTATGTGTGGCCCTACCTGTGTCTGTATGTGTGTCCCTATGGATGTCTGAATGTGTGCCCCTATGTGTGTTTGTTCGTGTGCCGCTGTCTGTGTCTGTATGTCTGCCTCTTATGTGTGTCTGTATGTGTGCCCCCATGTGTGTCTCTACATGTGCCCGTATGTGTGTCGGTACTTGTGCCCCTGTGTGTGTCTGTATGTGTGCCCCTCAGTGTGTCTGTATGAGGCCAACATGTGTGCCCCTACGAGTGTTTGTGTGTCTGCCCCTAGATGTGAATGCATGTGGCCCCCATGAGTGTCAGTACATGTGCCCCTATGTTTATCTGCTTATGTTCCTCTACGTTACGTGTGTCTGTATGTGTGCCCTATGTGTGTCTGTATGTAGTCCCCACGTGTGTCTGTATGTGGCCCCCATGTGTGTCTGTATGTGTGGCACTACATGTGTCTGATTTGTACGCCTCAATGTGTCTCTATGTGTGCCCCTATGGATGTCTGTATGGGTGCCCCTACTTGTATCTGTATATGTTCCTCTACGTGTGTCTGTATGTGTGCCCTATGTTTGTCTGTATGTAGACCCCATAGGTGTCTGTCTGTATGTGTGGCACTACATGTGTCTGATTTGTAACCCTCAATGTGGCTGTATGTATGCCCCTATGGATGTCTGAATGTGTGCCCCTATGTGTGTCGGTACATATGCCCCTGTTTGTGTCTGTATGTGTGCCCCACAGTGTGTCTCTACATGTGCCAGTATGTGTGTCTGTATGTGTGCCCCTATGTGTGTCTGTATATGGACACCATGTGTGTCTGTATGTGTGCCCCTGCGTGCGTCTGTATGTCTGCCCCTGTGTGTGTCTGTTTGTGTGCCCCTGTGTGTGTCTGTATGTGTGCCCCTATGTGTGTCTGTATATGGACACCATGTGTGTCTGTATGTGTGCCCCTGCGTGCGTCTGTATGTCTGCCCCTATGTGTGTCTGTTTGTGTGCCCCTGTGTGTGTCTGTTTGTGCGCCCCTACGTGTGTCTGTATGTGTGCCCCTGCGTGTGTCTGTATGTCTGCCCCTGTGTGTGTCTGTTTGTGTGCCCCTGTGTGTCTGTGTATGTGTGCCCCTATGTGTGTCTGTATATGGACACCATGTGTGTCTGTATGTGTGCCCCTGCGTGCGTCTGTATGTCTGCCCCTATGTGTGTCTGTTTGTGTGCCCCTGTGTGTGTCTGTTTGTGCGCCCCTACGTGTGTCTGTATGTGTGCCCCTGCGTGCGTCTGTATGTCTGCCCCTATGTGTCAGTTTTTTCTTTTTCCCTGATTGTTTAATCATTCGCAGGTTGGAACAGAGTTGCCCTCACTGGATCTCCTACCCGATGCCCGCTGAGGTCACTGGTTCTCCTTCCCGATGCCCGCTGAGGTCACTGGTTCTTCTATCCGATGCCCGCTGAGGACACTGGTACTCCTACCCGATGCACGCTGAGGTCACTGGTTCTCCTGCCCGCTGAGGTCACTGGCTCTCCTATCCGATGCCCGCTGAGGTCACTGGTTCTCCTACCCGATGCCCGCTGAGGTAACTGGGCCTCCTACCTGATGCCCGCTGAGGTCACTGGTTCTCCTACCCCATGCCCGCTGAGGTCACTGGTTCTCCTACCTGATGCCCGCTGAGGTCACTGGTTCTCCTACCCCATGACCGCTGAGGTCACTGGTTCTCCTACCCGATGCCCGCTGAGGTCACTGGTTCTCCTACCCCATGCCCGCTGAGGAAATAAGACAAATAAGTTAAAACAAATATGGTTTTTCAACCGTACAATTAGTTGAAGCGTGCATATTTCTTAATTAAAAAGCCCCCCCCCCCCACCTCACTCAAACATAGATTTTTTGAGTGTCTAATGAGTGTTTTACAAGGTTAAATATAAGACCAAATATGCTTATTATGGCCTAATTAGTCTGCATGTCAATTTTTACGAAAATCGGACAAAAAGAACAGTAATTTCAAATATAAAAATCTGCAAGTGGGGGAAAAAGGAAAAAGAGCCAATATAAATACTGTAGTGATTACACTTTTTATGAAGTTTCTGAATCATTATTTTTCGCGCAATTTTTGAAATGAATATTTTATACACAAACTAGTTTTATAATTAAAACATGCGAAATGCATGCGGGACCTGCCTATCATCGTTGCTTTTTCGAGGGACCACTCTATCATAGTAAGACTCTGATTCATGTATAATTCAGAGTTTGTTGCATAGATAAAGCTGCGATTTTTCATAGTTATTTCAGCAATGATTCCGTCGAAGATTCGCAGGTTGGAACAGAGTTGCCCTCACTGGATCTCCTACCCGATGCCCGCAGAGGTCACTGGGCCTCCTACCCGATGCCCGCAGAGGTCACTGGGCCTCCTACCCGATGCCCGCAGAGGTCACTGGGCCTCGTACCCGATGCCTGCAGAGGTCACTGGGCCTCCTACCCGATGCCCGCAGAGGTCACTGGTTCTGGAGAAGTTTAGGAGAACATGAATATGAACAAATGGGAGAACATTAAGATGAACACATTTAACCTGTTTTTCTGATTCGTTTTAAATGTATGATTCTATGTCTTAAATGATTCTTTGCTTTAACTGCATGATTTTAGAAAAATTTTGGAATTTTACATTTTTAAACTTGCTTTTTCTTCCAGACATAGAAAGAACTAAAAATAGAATAGCCTTAATTAACGAATTAAAATGGATTATAATGGATTTTCTTGACAAAATAATCGATTATATTGAAGAAAAAAATGGATTATAATGGATTATAATGGATTTTTATTTTTCAAAAAAATCGATTATAATGACCACATAATCGATTACGTGGTCTAAATTTGCCACAATAATGGATTATAATGGATTATAATGGATTATAATGACAACATTTCAGACAACATTTTTCCAATATAATCGATTATTATCCATGGAACTCCGGTGCGGGATCGTTTTGAAATAAAACATTCTAATGAAAATTTATTTCAGAAACTCTTAATTCGAGGAAACGCATTGAATCAATTGGGATGATAGCAAAGCATGACACACCAGCTAAAATAAATAAGTCAAATATGAATACTACGAATAAAGTTATACAAAACTTTAAAAAAAACAGATGTATCAAAAATTTAGTATTTCGATTTGCCGACAAAGAAATATTTTTCAATGAAATTTGTTCAACACTATTGTATAGAAAATAAAAATTATGCCGACAAAACCTAATTAGACAATCATGCAGCGAAAAACGAGTTTCAGCACCTTCAGCCAAAGTTTTGGCTCATAGAGAAACACAGAACGACGGCAAATGCTTTTGCTTAGTTTGTTCAATATATTTTTTGAAGGATGATTAATCAAAATAATCTTGAATTCGCTAGTACAATAAAGATGTTCCTATAGTCTAGTTTTTCAAAAATTGAAAAAATAAATACATCTGCAATTTTCGATTTTAACTTTAAAATAAATTGAAAATGAACTCTGGAAATCAACTATCAGTACCATAATCGTGACCAATCAATACAGAATTTTTTCGATTGAAAACTAAAGCAAGAGCAGTTTAGCAATAGTTTTTTTTTAAATCCTGAATAGGAAACAAAGCTTTTCTAATCAGGGCTTCGCTGAAATGAATTTTGGAAATAACTGAAAAGAGTTTAGATGAAAAACTGGTCTGTAACATTACGCACCCTTTGCTTAGCACCCTTTGCAAAGCGTGAACATCAACATGGCAGATTATAACAAGTCAAACAAAATGAAAACCATTAGGTCGAAACGATATTCGAAAAAATCAGACTAACAAAAAACTGCACAATAACACAAGTAAAAAAAAATATATATAATAGGCATTGAAATAATTTGGCTGCATAAAATAAAATCCTTCTCTGTTCAAGTCATTCGATCTCTTTAGGTCTAAATTCAGGAGGGCTCTCCCGTTGTTTACATGGTGATCATAAAAAAAAATTTTATGCACAAAAAAGTCATTTTATCTGATTAAAATCGATTCTAATTTGTTTTACTTTGCCAATTTTGACTTCTGAGTTTCCATCTGAGCAGCGTTTTTGCTTTCTTTTCGTAGATGGGAAAATTTGAGGCTTATGTGAAAAATTGAAAAAAAAAGTTTTCAAATCAATTCAATTATATACTTCATTTCTTCAAAATTTCATTGTAAGTTTGTTGATGATGCTTTTTTTTCTATGCCACCGAAATATGAGTTTGCTTTGGTTTGATGATTATTTTGGCAAAGGTTGTTTTAATTTGATGCGTCAATTTTTCAGCTGATTTGAAGGGATCTCTATAAAAGTTTAGTCTCGTGGTAAAACTTTGTGTTCAGATGAACCAAAAGGTGACGAGACATCTCACTTCAAAAGATTTTTGTTAGTGACCGAAAAATTAATTAGAACCCATAAAATATATTTTAATTATACTTTTGGTTTCACAAAATAAGAGATTATGTCTGGGTATAGTTAATTATAATTTAAAAAGTTTTTCTGTAAAAACTACAATCAATTTTAATGTTTTAATGGAGTGTAAGAGATTATAAGTTTTTTGAATAGTCATTTAAAATTCCTTTGAACAATTTTTTTGGTTGTTATAACCAAATATAATTGTCATAAGACTGACGTAACGAGCCGTTGTAATCGATTACTTAAGCCTAAATTTGGATGCGGGTTGTTATTTGTTATTTGGTCTGACAACAATTGGGAGTTTTTGATTGGATATAAATATGAGAGTCGATTTTAACCAAAAAAAAACAAAGAAATGAAAAACTTCGTGTTTGAAAACAAATAATCAGAACACAATAAATCTAAAGCTTGGATTTCTGATTGCCAAAATCTAGGTAAGACAGAACAAAAATGGCGAACGTAGTCGCATAAACAGAGTTATTTTTCTTAAAAAATTGCAGGCTTGGACCCAAATGAAAATCCAATTGCTTTTCTTAAAATAGTAGAGGCAGAGAACATTTTTTCCCTGAGCCCTCAAACAGTTGACCCAGTTGGCAATCAAAACGCATCCTGTTTTAGACGAAGAGCATTATTTGGTTCAATAAAAAGAGATCCAGCTGTTCATCCAGCAGCAGGTTAAACTTGGAACGATATAATTGATCAGTTTATAAATAGATTCACTGATGATAAGAACTAATTTAGGAGACAACTAGAAACAGAAAACATGAAAAAACAACCTGCTGAAATTTTCAAAAGTTATAAACATTGATTAAGCACTGCAGTAGACCAGCGATGGTCAAATCCACCTTTCAATGCTGATGAAAGAACAACAAGCAAAATGGCAATCTTTGTGCAAAGCTTAAGACTGACGAGATTAAAACAAAAAAGACAGCCAAAAAATCATGTACCTACCAAAGACTTAAATTTTGCACTAAGCAGTGAATTTTTTGAAGAACAGCAAGTAGTGTCGATAAAAAGTTGGAACCAGAAGAATTAAAGATCGACTTGGAAAAAAAATTAGGGCTAAGAAAGGATCATAACAGAAACGCAGCTTTTAATCTGAATGAGTCTCCAACAAACAAAACAATCCAAAGTTTTGCATATGGTGTTTCGTGTCAGGCCATAAAAAAGACCTTTGTTCAAATGTAAAGATCACATGGAGCACAGTAATGCATCTTCTCAATTAAGAGAAAATGCAAAATAAAATTATCATATCTGTTGCATTAGGTCAAGAGAAGACAGAAACTTTGTTACTAGAAATCCCCAGCAAGAGGTCAGGCATATGTTAAGATACAATGAAGGATCTCAATACGTGACAGGCGACCATTAGCCAGATTTTCAACCAAAAAAAAACGACTATCATTCTAAATAGCCGACCATTCTGTATAGCCTACCAGCTCCTCAATACTAGTGATAATGACATTCAAGGAGACTGTAGCAATGAGTAAAGTGATTATTTTAATTTGAAACAGATCAGCCTCCATCTGAACCAAAGATACATGTGTATTTTATTTTATATTAACATCTCGTTGGGGAAAAAAATTACCGGTCTGCAAACCCAACTCTTAATAGACACTGGAACAATTATAGTTTTGTCAGTTTTGAACATGGTTATACGAAACAGCCTCTACAGCTCAATAACACTAGATCAATACTTGATGTCAACTTGATGTCAACGGAGAAAAATTTAAACTTATAGACTATGCATTTTTTGACGCTAATTTTGGTAGTAACAGTGATTCTTCGGTGAAACCTAAAACACTATAATGATGTTCTAACAGTATTGGTACTAACAGTATAATAATGTTCAAAACCATCGAGAGCAGGTTTGCAGCCAAGGACGGATGCAACCTAAATAAATTATGATTTGATTTCATTGCCCAGAAGATAAAAACATTAAATTTTAAATGTTCAATGTTTGTCCTGGGAACAGTAAGTCCTCGGAACAATAAGGCCGTTAAACGTATACCGTTTATTCTAGAGATGATAAAAAGACAATCCTTGTCGTGCTCAAAAATTGCAGAAAACTGAAAAATTAAAATTAAAGTTTCAATAGGTCAAACATTTGAAATTACAGAAGAAAAATTACACGGACTAATGAGAACCGAAGCGACAGGTTAAGTTAACTACGTTATGATCAGGATGAAACTGAGCAGTAGTCTTAAAATTTTTTCAAGAGTGTTTTTCATTTTTATTCGATGCGACTAAGCAATATTTTTTCGCCTGCTTTTCGTGGTTTCTTTTTCGAAGCAATTACGAGAAGCCTGAAAAATTTAAAGAAATTTTTTTTCACTTAAAAAAAATAAATCACTTGATGTACTAAAAAGAATGACGGTTCTATCTAACGCTCTATAGGATATGCTAAAAAAATGCGTGGAAAACATGTTGAACCTACTTTGAACTGGAAACTCTCAGTTGAACTACTAAAAATCCCAATCAGAATAAGAAGAAGCTTGCAGGGTTCCACTACAAGTTTGACCATCGAGAGCAGTACAAGCAGAGCCAAATCTATCAATTTTCAGGACGTTTGCAGTTTGGGTTTGATGATGATGATGAGTACTACCAAAATGAAGACAGCGAAAAACTTTTGAATGAAATCGTCTTTTTTATTAATGACAAAAAGAATGAACAAAAAAATCTAGAGAAAAAAAAGAAAAAAAACTGAATAAACGATTGAATCCAAATTTTTCTTTTCTTTTTTCTTACAGTTTGATCTCATTTCTAAAAAATATGTCTTTCATAATATATAACCAAAAACTATCATGATTTATAAACAAAATTTGATAACGTATCAAACAACTGTCGATTCAATAAAATGGATGAGTTGTAGTATTGCAAATACTACACGGAACAAAAGTACTATATGGTTTTAATTATTTACTTAAAATTATAGTGGACTCCATTCCATTTTAAATTCAAAAACTTTTTAAAAACCTAAAAGTAAGGTTTGCTTTTTTCAATCATTTGTTCAAGATGGGATTATTTTAAAATTCTCATTTTTTTTACAAACAGTTTTTGTCTGATATCAAAGAACAGACAAAAAGTAATAAACACCGGGTGTTTCTGCTTGCCAACAATGAAAACAAAAAAAGAACACCAGCAAAACAACAAGAGAACGAATAAAAGCTATTTTTTTTTCAAAAAAAACAC